ATCTTCACCATTCATATTGGTGAATCTGCTTCTATCAGGCTCAACACCCTTTCTATTTCAGTTACTATAACCAACATTAAACGTTCTTTCACCATGTTTCATATTAGCAGATTTTTGATAACGAATAAATGCCTCATGTTTATCCTTGTTGACTCCAATTTCATATTGGTAGCACAGTTTGAAATCATCTTGTGCTTTTTGATCAACTTCAGGAGATTTTTGATAAGAATCAAATGCTTTATGTCTTTTCATTTCACTGCCAATTCTATCAGGATCACCTATATTGGAGGATTTTTGATAATGAATGAACGTTTTATGTTCATTCTTTTTGGCATTAACTTTAGCATCTTTCAATTTATTTGCTTCAACCCTTTTTTGATAGACTTTACAGGTATGGTACTATTCTTTATTCGCATCGTTTCGTTTTTAAATATCCTATTATTAATTCTTTTCTTCATATCATTTCCGATTCGATCTTTATTTTCATAGTTATCAACTTCAAGATCAATGATTTTCATGAACCATACATCCATACCATTTTTCTGATATTCACCTTTTGCTTGATCTGGGCAAGAGCAGGCCAAATATTCTTGATGTCTACAAATGTAACACAGCCAAGGTCTGTAGCATTTTTCTTTTATCTTTTATTTCTTCAAACTCTTCACCACTTCAACAACTAATCCTATCATGCTTTCAACTAACAACAACAAATGATTTTCACCTTCCATCCTCTTCGATTTCACCACTTCGGAAATGTTCGTTTTTTTTTTTTTTTTTTTTTTTTTTAAACTTTAACAGAAGCTGGCCCTTGCTTATGCTATTGTTATTATTCCCAGGGCCCTTATAAAAGTTCTTGGCATATCCAAGTAAGTAGGTACTTGATTTTGTTAAACTATTTCTTCAAAACTTCTATTTAGGTGGAATTATTTTAATAGAAACAACTAATCAATACAGTACCAAAAGCAACTTTAGTGATCTTTTACAAAACATAGCCTCTTAACAACCACAATTTGTTATAGATCTTATTCGCCAAACAAGCAAAATATATATCATATCAACGTATCTTTTAACTATTTACTATTTACTTTACAACTTTTACAATTTTTTTTCATATAAATCTTTTAAAAAACTAGCTAAAATAGCTGAACAAAAATTTATACAACTTAACAATACTATTACCAACCCCAAATGCAATCTTTTTTCTATTATACTTATTTTAAGCAATTTTTACTTATAGCTTTTAAAAATGACAACACCACTAATACAAATCTTAAAAACACTCTTTAAAACACCTTTTAAAACAACAGATCCACATAATCTTGCTAAAATTATAGCATATTTTGATATTATATAGTTCTTTAATATCTCTATTTTTCAAATTAAAACTAAATACTATCAATCTTATCTGCTACAAGCTACACAATATATTACAAAAAAACTTCAAATCTTAAAAATCTCTACTAATTTTTTCTTCTTACAATTCAAAATACCAAATAAATTAGATTTTTTATTCCTTATTAATTAAATTTTTTACCCTAATCAAATTTATTACTTTTAACAAATATTTTCTTATTTCTAACAATTAAAACTTATATAAACAATATTATTATTATTATTTTTTTTTGCTTCACTTTGGCAGTCCACGCTAGTATCTTTATTTAATAAAGTGCCACTTGTAGAAGTGCTATGATATTAAAGCTACAGGTCTGACATCCTGCAATTATCTTGTATAACCTAACTGATTACCTACACGCATCTACAGATGACTATGCCACACCAGAAAGATACGATCAATTAAGATAATACCCTACTGAGACTTATTCGACTACCGCTCTACAATAGAATATCACCAATCTGATAACATTTTCTCATAGAAAAATAAAAAAAAAGAAAAAACTTATATAAAAGAAACACAGAGGTATAGGAGGATATGTGTCACAGTATATTCGGTACCCTATAATTTTGTGGTGACAGGTTCGATTAGAATTGGGATCTACATGAATAGCATGATGCAGATTTGTATAATGCATGAATTAATTAAAAGTCTAATCTAGTGATAGTCTAATGGTGCGACTCAGATAATAATATATCTGGTAATAATCTTTGTATTTAAATTGAGCGATCTAATAGTAATAAAGCATAGAAGTTTGGCTTTAGTAAAAATGTTCTAAA